TTGTTATCTATAGTCTTTGCTTGTGAGAAGTTTCGAGTATTCATCCTGGGATATCCAGTCACTGTCCTGACTGATCATCAAGCCTTAACTTTTTTATTTCAATGTCGCCTGCGAAACGCTCGATTAACCCGGTGGACGTTACACCTTCAAGAGTTCAATTTACAAGTGAAACACATCCCCGGCTCAGAAAATGTTATCGATGCTCTATCCAGAAGTCCTGCCGGTCGAGAGGATGCGGAGAAGGCGATGTCAAGTTTTCCATGTGTCCTAACAATCACGTCAAAAAAGGTCCAAGCCGAGTTTGAGCGCCAAGTATCGTCTTTCAAATCAATCTGTTAATCCCAGAGGGAAGACACTAACCTCGATAGACTTCACCAGCTCCTGATGGACCCCCAGAGTCAGAAGACACCATATCTCGAACACTATAGCTTAGTAGAGGGGGTACTGTTTTATCGACGACACAAATCCACTGATCAATGGCTGGTTTGCATCCCTATCGACAGGGTAGACGAACTGATTGATCAGGTGCATCAACATTTTGGGCATGTCGGACCAAAGAAGTGTATACTTGCCATCCGTGATTTCTGTTTTTTCAAAAGCTTTCAGTCCCGTATCCGAAAAGTCGTCCAAAGTTGTGTGTTGTGTCAGCAGACTAAAGCGTCCACGGTCCGTATAGAAGGGGAGATGCGATCTGTCCTGGCCGATGTCCCACTAGGGCGAGTGTTAGTCGATCTGTACGGTCCTCTCCCTCCGGGTTGGAACCAAGTCCGATATATTTTTGTCGTACTTGATAACTTCTCTCGATTTGTCCGTCTATACCCAGTGAAGAAGGCCACCGCTGTCGCGGTAACCAATCGCATGATTGATGACTATATATCCACATACGGTAAACCCCGATGCATCGTATCCGATCACGGTGTACAGTTCCGGAGCAACGTGTGGCAGAATCGTTTATTAGCCCTCGGTGTACCGCCTACAATGACGTCTGTGTATCACCCTCAGTCCAATCCAGCCGAAAGAGTAATGCGAGAACTCGGACGCATGTTCAGGGCGTACTGCCATGAAAACCATACCGAGTGGCCACGGTACGTATCGTACATTGAATGGGTGTTAAATAACACAGTCCATGAGTCAACAGGCCACACCCCACAAGAGCTTTTTCTTTCCGTCGAACAATATAACCCGTTCGGAAATGCCGTTTCGTTCCCTCTTCGACTTCCACTTACACAAAGAACTAAACTGACCATGGCCCGAGAGATCCAGCTCACCCATTCCGAACGAAGAAAACGCCGCCATGACAAGCAGGGCGTCCCAGTATCATTTGTCATCGGTAACCGCGTATTGGTGAAAACGCATCGCCTCAGTTCATCCGTCGACAAATGTATACAGAAATTTTTCTTGTTATATGAATCCCTAACAGCAAAGGATATTTCAAATATATAACTTGATGTCGCTGATACCTTTCAATATTTCATATTCATTACATAACATAATACATACTCCAAACATATATCTGATATGATGGTACCTATTATAAAACATTAAATGTACTTCATGTATATATCCGATAAGTTATAAATGTTATTTAACATTAGTATTAAAACATAAATATATCCGATACATCGTACATGTTATATAACATTATTATTGAAACATAAATATATCTGATAGGTCGTATTTGAAAATTTGATATCGTGTGATATATATATAACGTTATAAATCCGTTATATACCTATATTGAGAATATTACGTAACTATTCATTTCGGAAATATATTTAGATATTAATAAATAATCTATAATATTATGATAATACTATAATAATTTCAAAATAATGCGGTTATATTCTATGATAATAGCTACCTAGTTGATATTTATATTATGTTATTAATTATTTAATTGTCATGTGTCAGTTAACACGTTATTATACGTAAATACGATTAAAAATTGCAATTTGCATCATTCTACCTGTAGGTATTCATTTTTACTCCATTTATTTGTATACAAATAACTTACCAACCACTATTTACAAGACGTCCTGAAGTCTGCACGCGACAGATAATATAGTCGAATAAGGTACGTATATTAAATAATAATAAGTTTATACTGCAGGGTTTGGTAATACGTCTTTAACTCTTTATAATATAGATAATATTATAATAGGTATACTATACCTATTTGAGATTTATTACTTATAGATAATAATAATAATAATAAAGATTTATAATATGATGGACCATTTTAACAAACGCCGCAAACTGTTAACTCAGTGTTCTAAAAGACATATACGAAGAGTGAATCAATCAAATTATACTATTAACATTCATAGTACAGATGATTCATCTCTGACTGAATCTGATGATGAATATGATCCACTAACACTTACATCATATAATAATCATGATACTAATAACCTTGGGAAACTAAATAATACAGACAACCAATCAATAATATGCATTTCAAGTGCTGCTGCGGCTAATAACAATATAATTACTGAAGTTGAACCCCCAATTTCACAAAATTATGATGATCATGCCAAACCATCTTCATCGGGATCAGCTTATTATAACTCTTCATCATCATATCTAGCACTAACTTCAGATTTGGATAGTCCTGTAGATAGCTTTTCTGGTTCTGCAGGTAGCAGTGATGATGATAACGATTGTAATAAAGAGACTGATCCGAATGATTTACATTTGAGTAATAATAATAAAGATGACAGTGATTTATTAAAGAAAGACTTGTTGAAATGGCATTTTGAAAACAATACTACTCAAGCTATGTTAACTTCAATGTTAAAAATTTGGAATAAATTCACAAATTTCGATTTACCCAACGATGCTAGAACATTATTAGGTACACAGAGAACAGTTAATATCAAACCAATCGAAGGTGGAAACTATTGTCACTTTGGACTGGTTAAGGCTTTAAACCATATTGTAATAGAATTAAAACAAAAAATACATATTGTTAAAAAAATTGACCTAATTATAAACATTGATGGTTTACCCTTATCAAAATCCAATAAAAGTAGTTTTTGGCCAATTATGTGCTCTGATCTTCGTTTAACTAATAAAGTTTTTATAGTTGGTATTTTCCATGGATATGAAAAACCAAAGTCTTCAAATGAATTTCTGGAGGAGTTCATTTCTGAATTAATCCTACTAGTTAATGAAGGACTAACTACATCAGAAGGAGAAGTAATTTGTGTTAACTTAGCTGCTTTAATATGCGATGTACCGGCAAAATCATTTGTACTTCATATTAAGTCTCACAACGGTTATAATAGCTGCTCAAAATGTATAATTACTGGGACATACATAAGAACTAATGGTATTCATGGTAGAGTTTGTTTTCCATCACCAAACGAAAAAGATGAGTTTATTCTTAGATGTGACACATTGTTTGGTGAAAATTATTACAAAGACTGTCAGAATGGTGTATCAATTCTAAACAGTGTGCCAAATTTTGGTTTAATTTCAGGTACCCCTCTTGATTACATGCACCTCGTTTGTATTGGAGTTGTAAAAAAATTGGTAACTTTATGGCTTGAGGGGCCACTTACAGTGCGGATACCATTATCTGTAGTCAAACGTATATCTGTAAACTTAATAGAAATACAAAAATATACACCAAATGATTTTGCAAGAAAACCAAGAGGATTAACAGAATACAAACATTGGAAAGCAACAGAGTACCGACAATTTCTTTTGTATACTGGTCCAGTGGTATTGAAATCGATTTTAAAACCAGATATATATAATAACTTTATTGTATTACATGTAGCTATATCAATTTTAATTAACCCTATATTGGCAAAATCTGAACAATTTATCAACTATTCTCATTCACTTTTAAAAAAATTTATATATCAGTTTCAAAATTTATATGGAAAATGTTTTGTATCTCACAATATTCATAATTTAATGCATTTAGCAAATGACGTTAAAAAGTTTGGGCCATTAGATATATTTTCTGCATTTAAATTTGAAAATAACATGACTTTTATTAAAAAACTATTAAAAAAATATGATAAACCATTGCAACAGGTTACAAAACGTTACTTAGAACGAGAAACATTAAATATTCAACAACAACAAAAACTTCCAATTACATTTCGTATTAAACATAACAATGGCCCTATTTCAGAATTTTTTTCAAACCTAGAAATCGAGCAATATTCAATTTATTCAGATGATAGACTTTCATTTAATTTAATAAGTCATAAACTAAACAATTGTTTTTGTTTATTGAAAAATAATAGCGTTGTGTACATAAAAAATGTTATTTTATATACAAATTTATTTTATTTTATAGGTTTTAAAATAAAAACTATAGAATTTAATTTGTATTCAATACCTTGTTCGTCTAAAGATATGACCATAAATTGTATTTTGGCAAATTATAATTTTAATTTACACGAAAAGCTTTTTGAATTTAATGTTTCTGACATAAAATGTAAATTATGGCCAATGCCATTTAAAAATAAATATGTTCTTTTTCCTATTTTACACACTTTATTGTATGATTAAATAAGTAATCGTTAGGTACATATTCAGAATCAATTAGTAGTTTAATTTCATTTACATGAATATTATATTATATATAAATAATTATAGGTTACAATAATATTAGTTTAACATAATAGGTATGTATAATTACCACACAATATCATGTATATTAGTTATATATTATAATATGTGTAATAAGATTTGAATATAATAAACTTAAAATATAAAATGTAAGGTTAACATACTTATTAATATTTATTTGATAATTATAGGCCCCAAAGGGCATTGGTTATGATAATACAGTAGTGGGTACAATACAGTTTTTTTTTTTTTCTTTATGAGAATATATGAAGAAATATAAAAGTAGCTAAACTAAGATTAGTTAAGCAGGTGCAACATTCTAATGAAAAGGCTGGTTATGAAAATAGGATGTAAGATGGGTGGGAATAGAAAAAAGAGAATAGTGTCTTATATGGTGACTGGGGGGGGGGGATGTGAAGAGATGATAGATTGGGTGCTTCGATAGTTCCATTAAGATTTGTGGTGATGAACAGGAGGTCTGCACTCCACTGCATCGCGGCATGAAGATAGAGATTATATATTAAGGACAGATAATGGTTTTGTCATGCGGTGGATGCTCAATTTTAATAAAAAGATTAGACAAGATAAGCGATTTTGATGGGTGTTAGATAAAAGACTAGGTATTTATAAATAATAATAACATCAATACTTTGAAAAGTGGGGATCTCCCAAGATAATATGAGTTAAGTGTGGGACAATGTTTCCTAGAGAAAGTCATTGAGTGACATTAATTGTCTATGTTGAGTAATAAGTATTAACACGCTAGGTCCAAATGAAGAAGACATTGCATCAGGTCAGCTTGCAATAGTAGTCAGTCTATTTTACAGAAAATTTTAATATCATCAGCAAATAATAGAACTTTGCTTAATAATAGATAATATGCTTTTATTATTGTACTACAGTTATTCAATAATGGAATTCTCTGTAGTTGAATTTGATGATGGAATTCATCTTGTTTCATCATGTTGGGTGGATACTACTAAACTGAATTGTTACTGGCCACATGTTAAGAAAGAAAGTGTATTGCAGAAAATGATGGTTTCACACATTGTTCCTAAACAAAATGATCCATCGTGGTCTTTATATCCTATTAAAAGAGTTATGAGTAGATCTGGTATGTATAAATAATAAAAAAATGTTTTTATTACAATTAAATACAATTCTACTGTTTTGTAGCAACATATGAAGAGGGAATGTACAAATTAAAACTAGCTGAGAAATACTCCGATATTGACAGCTCTAATGAAACAACTACAAAAATTAAAAGACACAAAAGACAATCACATGCTAAAAAACAATTATTTTATGAATCTAATGATGATGAACATGACAATGAAATGATCAGAAGAAATAACCAAGTAACAGAACGTCCTAGTAGCAATGAAGCAGCTGCAGATAACGAAGCTACAATATCCAAATACCCATCATTCCCTACAGTTGACGATGAAATCATGCAGAGTTTACTAGAATATAACAGTGAGTAAAATGTGTACAACTCATATTAGTATGTAGTTATATTTTGTTGTACATTATTTATTATAATTTATAATGTAGGATATATAAATGTAATGTCTTACATTATGTTTTAGCGGATTCTCCGATGCCAGTAGAGTTATTTGATGATACTAATATTAATCTGGCACCTACAACAGCTCATCAGCTTAAAAGAAATTATGGTATGTCGTATGTAGGACATAGATAGTATAAATTATTTAAGTCATAAAATAATCTTAAATGTATTTGTTAAATAATAGATGACACCTACAAGAATTATGCAACACCTGTCAATTCTACCAATACAATTAATACCAAAGATGCAGTAGGAAATAAAGGTACCTAGACAATTAGTATGATTTTTGGGATAACTTATACAATATAAGACATAATATAGTCTTACTAATTCAGTATATCATATTTTTGCATTATATTATGTTGTATTACATTTATCATATATGTATATAAATATAGTAAGACTACACTATAAATCATTTTAAATAGGGGGCCAATACACTTGTAAGACGGAGACAGCACATCTTCTTATTAAGTCAGCAGTTTAAATACATTGTGTGAAATAAAATCATAATTTGTATTTATTATATTGTTGTATAATGAATATTATATTCGTTTATTTTAGAATTAAATTCAAAGGAAGTATATAAAGTTATATCAAAATTGAGCACTAAAATTGAATTAATGCGGGACGAAATTTTTGAATTAAAGCAATTAATTATTGGACTGACTAATAAGAATAATTTATCAAGAATCTCTGGAAATGAAGAAGTTAATCCTGTTTTTGTTGGACCATTTGAAGAAGACCTACCCATAAACACTGAGGAACGTTTAAAAGAAATTGAGAACAAATTATTAACAGATAATTCATACTTCATGTTGATGGTATATAGTTATTAATTAGTAATATAAAATATTATACTATAAACAGATTTTTTTTTGTTATCAACATATTTTTTAATAAATATAGGTTAATGGTTTTATGTAACTATTTATGCAATGTATTAGATATACAACATCAACATAATAAGTATATGAAATTAAAAGTTTTTAAAATATTTTAAAACAAAACTAATGGATTGTTAATTGATATAAAAAAAATGACTGTATAGTATAATATTTGGTATATAGGTAAAATATAATATATATTATTATACAAAATCCTGAATTTCTACATTATACCTAAATCATTTCTAATTGAGTAATAAAATATTTTCCAGCTTGAAGATTTGAAAAAATTAGGTGGTCTTAATATACAAAATATAATCATAAATGCTTTGGCTTACACTATGTCAAATACGCTTGCTTCACAATATAGTTGGCAGGGGAAAAGATCCAAACACGCATTTGAAAAAGATCTTCCAAACTTTTTTAAAGTGATTTTGGGTGAGTTATATTTTTCATTCATTATGAAAGCATATATTAATCCATAAATTATGTTAATAATATTTTACATTAACAATATTGGTTTTAATAATATTAATAGCTCTTTCGCGATACAAAAATCCCAGTATCACAAACAAAGAAGTGGCACAAGTTGTTATTAAATGGCTAGTTCAAGCACCATTAAGAGCATCTAGAGAACAAGAGTAAATATTATTGAATTAAAATTATAATAAATATAACTATGTATAATTATAATATACCCAACCTATTAACAACCATAATGTTATTTGTTTTTGGAAATAATCATAATAATATATATAAATATTTATATGTATATTATTATAATACAGTTAGTGTATAATAAGTATACTATACTTTGTTCATAGCATATAATAATTTATTATTGTTTTAACATACTTAATTAATTAATTATTTTTTATTTCAGGAAAAATAATAAAACACAAAAAAATACAATATAAGTACTTCATCTTTTTAAACAGAGGATTTCTTCTGGTCAAAAATATCATTTAATATAATATAATATAATATTTTTACAGTTCATTATAAAATCATTTTTTTCTATTTTTAACGGTTTTGCCATGTAGCAGATAATTAAATTTTATTAATGTATACTTTAATCAACTTATTAAACTTGATAAAAGGTTGTAGTAAATACCTATATAATAATATACCAACAAATATGACTATACATATAGGTAGGTAGTATATATATAGATATATTATTACTATTTTTAAATAAAAAATAACTATACACATTTGTATTATTATTATAATTTTATTATAAGTATACTTAAGAGGATGCCACACCCGCATATGTGTTGTCTCCGTCTTACAAACGCGTATCATAGCAAATTTACGCTCAGCTGCAATTCAAGTTTTATTCCGTTAGCTTAAAAATTAGAGTGACCTATTATGAAACTTGATGGTAAGAACATATTATCTGTGTTTTGGTGGAAGTTTTATTAAGAAAATTCAGTTTTTAAGTGAGTTATGCGTGTATAATAAATTTAAATTAAAAAAATGCTCATAACTCATTTAAAAACTAAATTATCGTAAAAAAAACTTCCAGCATAACACAGATAATATTCATAACATCAAGTTTCTTACCAGGTTGATTCACTCTAATTAAGCTACCGGAATAAAACTTGAACTGCTGAGCGTAAATTTGCTAATATGTTACCCATTTGTAAGACAGAGACAACACATAATGCGGGTGTTGCGTCCTCTTAACATAAAATGTGACTATATCAATTAGTACTTATCTAATATCCTAATGCTATTGTATAATTTTATGAAGTCTATACCTACATTTTTTATTATAATTATCATTTTATTATGTATTTTATTTATTGTTTGAATATGTTCCTGTATGAATTTCTGTTCCTATACATAAATAAAATTAGGTGATAATATTGTTATTATAATTAGGTATATTTTAGGTAGGTATTTTATTCCTCTATATATATATACATAATATTTATTACTTGTAAAATTTTTTTTTTTTGTTAATATTTTGTTTATTACTAAAGGATCTTATTTTTTATTTTATTAATGAGATCTTATAACTATGTTAAAAGAGTTTAACATAAAAAATAATAATATTTCAATTATATAGGTGTTGTATTAATAACTATAAATGAATCTCATCGTTATATACAATACTATTATTATACTTACTTATATAATTTTTGTTTTGTTTAAATATTGTCTGCAATATATTGAAGGATTTTATAATTTTGTTTTTTCTTTTTTTAATTATGGGATATGAAAACGGTGAAACTTACAATAATATATTTTGTATTAATAAGTATATAATCTGTATAGCACCTTATACTATCCATAATAATTAATAATAATTATATAATATTTTTTTTTTGTTGATTTTTTGTTTAAATATACTAAAGGATATTGCTAATTTTTTTTTATGAGATCATAAGTGTGCTCAGCCTTCTAGCTGTTTCAGGTGTGGCTTTTATTTTTTTGACCACCCACCCCCTTATACAAAACCCTCCTAAAAAAAAATAGACATACAAAACATAGGTATATATAGCTCCAGTCGCGACAATTTTTGTAATAGAATTGATAAAATAAATTTCTGATTTTCCAAAGAAGTTAGTTATTATTTCTTTTTACCTATAGGCTATAAATACTTGGTTTACTTGGTACCTACCTACCTATAAAAAATAAGCAGCCTCTGCTGGCTATACAGCTATAGCTACATACACCTATATACAGCTATATACATACACCTTTTCACACGCCTATGAATGACCTAGTAGTATATATTAAAAGTGTATAAAATACAATAGTAAAAAAAAAAAAATAATAACAAAATAATAGTAATGATATGTAGGTATCATATTATTATAATGTATTTATTATACTATAATATAAATTGCAGCTCACTAAAGCGCGTATTTAATTATAATAATAATCGTCGAGATTAATTGTAAAAAAACAGTCTCAATAAAAAAAAAAAAATTAAAAAAAAAAATAATAATAATTATAATAATAAAATACCTATATGATTAATAATCTATATTCAACATATATATTATATTATATTAGGTGGTACGACCACTTATTTTATAATAAAACTATTTATAACAGATATGTTACAATTTTATGAAACATTCATATACTATTTACATAAATGATATGTAAAAGTATATGTATCAGAAACATCTATGATTTATTGTGTAAACATAACAATTATTCCTATTGTAAATGTATCATTATATAACATTGTTATGTGACATTTGTTAGGTAAAAGCGGACATAGAAATTTAAACGAAATGTGACAGACACATAAATGATATGTATAAAAACATATCAGTTATGTGATTCATAAAACTAAGTTACGATACAGTTACCAAAATGAAATGAAATTGTGTTGTTAGGGAAGGACCCTATGTGATCACTCGCCGTCACCAAGGAAATGCATATACTCTGGCAGATCCAGACACCAACAAAACAATTGGAACTTACAATGTGGTTCACCTCCGTCGTTTCCACGAACCGATCAGTTCACCACTGCAGCAGGCTGAAGTAATTCATAGCAACGGGTCGAACACACGTCTCGTCTGATTTCCGTCAATCATAATTACCCATTATTATTATTATTAAAATTTGCGTACAGACATCGTCATCCATGAAAGCTCTCCCCGATGTGGCAAACTTTCATGGGGGGTNATATATGCCATATGGCTTTGCCAAATGGCAAAATCAGATGCCAATGCCAAGTGCCATTCGTTGTGTCCACATTGTAAATTCAGTATACGTGCGGCCATCAGTCAACCACGATGTGTGCCGACGACGACTTGCTTATTGCTGCCGCAGCTGTAATTATAATCGACCAAAATGATAGAAAAAAAGCTAGAAAATCACGGAAACGACGATTTTGGGTACGTCCGAGCTTAAAAAGTGGTAGAGCTAAGTACAGTGTCAATGATTTTATGAATGATCTAATTTTGGACGAAGTAGACAAATTAAATCTGGAGTACCGATGTGGAACTGGTTTCCGGAATTTTTTCCGAATGACGAGCAGTGACTTTGAGACTCTCCTTAGTTTGATTGGCCCAAGAATCACCAAGATGGACACCACATTTAGAAAAGCTATTCCTGTTAATGAACGGCTTGCTGTAACATTGCGGTTCCTAGCAACAGGAGATTCCTACCATTCTTTAATGTACATGTTTAAAATTTCGAAGCAAGTAATTTCGGCCATCGTTCCAGAAGTTTGTGATGCTTTGATCAACGCTTTGCAAGATTATATAAAGGTAAGAAAATCAGTCTCTAAAGTATTCGAATACAAAAAATACATATTTGTTGTCAAAATATGTACTATTTAAACATTCAAATATGTTAAATTGTGTAATACTTTAAATATAATAATTTTAAAATACTTTAAACAAAATAATTTTAAAACTTTAAGTATTAAAAAATACAAAATATTTTAAATAAATTACAAAATATTTAATCTTAATATGAAATTATTTGCTTATGTAAAAATATGTCTATAATATATCTTAAAATTAGAAAGCATTGAAGCGACATTGTTGCTGCTATAGGCATTTTTGGGCCGATATTTTTACTTATAAAATTATTGTTGGTCTAAAAATAAATGTGTAAAATATTTACCTCTTGGCCCTCCTGACAGGTGCTCGCACAGTTTGAGAATTGCTTCTGTATATAATTAAACTATAAAAATATACTTGTATTTGTAATTAAATACTTTGTGAGTATTCGTAAAATACGTTTTAATTTAGGTATTTTTAACAATTTTTAATATGAATACTAGTGTTAGTATTTTAATACTTATTCAAAAGTATTTTTTACATGACTGAAGGAAAACTACAAATTATTTGAAGGTAAATATATATTTATTAATTAAATATAATTACATTTCAAATAAAATATTATCAAATGAATCATTATCACTATTAACTGGCCCATCCATGTAGGAAGCGGAGCTCACAGTTGTACCTGGTCCATCTGTGAAAGAAGCAGGGCTCGTCATTGGTGTAGATACTTGGCTAGTGTTGGGAAAAGGTGAACGGAATGAAGGGTTACTAGAAGTTGGACTTCCGAAATGTGGGTACATAGGTACACTGTAGTTTGGTGGCTTTGAGTAGAGGTGGGCTCCTGGGTATAGCTGTGTAGAAGTGTTAGGTGGATAATCATATTTCCCCATCTCAGCGTCAAATAATACAGTACTAATTATTTGTCTCACAACTTTTTTACTATACGGCGTATTGAGACCACTTATTTGCATACCTACTTGCTCTCCAAATAAGGTATATTGGTTTTTCACAGATCTACTCTCTTGTATGTCTTTCATGATAGCGAGTGCTTCATCTGTTGCTGAATACTTTGCTTTATTTTGATTTCTTGAGGAGTTTAATGACCGCTTTTTCCCTTGGGATGTGGATGTTGATTGAATCGATACATCGTCATCTTTTTCCACTACTTTCTGATCGATTTCATTAGGCTCAGTAGTTATGATATCCAATGGGTCCTTAAAAGTTTATTTGATAAAACATTTTAAGTTAACAAAATAATGTTTATAACTTAAATAAATAAATCGATAACAGTATTAATAATAAAGCGTTAACCAAGTCAGCCCTCGATATTTTTTATAATTATTGTAAGCAAAACTTATGGACAACCTTGTATAAAATTTTAAAGTATATTGACTCGGCAAAAAAAATAATAGTTCAAAATAATATATAATAATAAATAATAAATATTAAATATTATATTATTTGAATTAGGTAAAGCCGTATAGGTATTTGAATGTGTATTTCGTTTTAGATGCCTGAAAATGAATCGGAATGGAAAGAAAAAGCAAATGAGTTCAATGAGAAATGGAATTTTCCAAACTGTGTCGGCGCTTTTGATGGAAAGCATATAGCTCTGCAGGCACCAATTAACAGTGGAACTGAGTATTTTAACTACAAGGGTTTTTTTAGTATCGTTCTTTTTGCAGTTGTAGACGCGAACTACAATTTCACTTATGCAAATATTGGCTGTCAAGGCCGAATTTCGGATGGAGGTGTAATTAATGAAACTAAATTCAAAAAAAGTCTAGAAGATAACACAATGAATTTACCCAGCCCTTGCAAACTTCCTGGAAGAAATAAATCTACACCATTTGTTTTCGTTGCTGATGATGCGTTCCCTCTCACATGCAATATTATGAAGCCATACGCTGGGACACAAGAAAAGGGTTCAATGAAAAGAATTTTTAATTACCGACTTAGTAGAGCTCGTAGAGTTTCTGAGAACACTTTCGGAATTATAAGTTCTGTTTTTCGCATACTTAGAAAACCAATATTGTTGGAACCAAAAACTGCTAAAAAGGTTGTATTGGCCATAGTTTATTAACATAATTTTCTACGAAAACACTCTAAAACACTTTATAATCTCAATGGAGCATTTGATGTGGATAGCTCAGTAACATATCCAGCTGATTCAGGAGACGGGCTCAACAATATTGCTAGAGTTCCCAGAAGAAGTGCAACCGATGCCCAAGAAGTTAGAAATGAATTGGCCGAGTATTTTATTTCACCACAAGGACGGATATCTTTTCAATATGACTAAACATCTGAACTAGTGTTTATGTAAAAGTATAGTGTATTTGAAAATTGTATGTTTTTAATATTTATAATTAATAAGGTATACTGATATGATCACGTCTATATTTAATCTTATTATTATTATTATTATTATTATCTGATTATTTTGACTAATTGTATCTATAACTGTCTGGTTATAATTATCTTGTTATAAATATAGATTGTTATAAAAATAGACTGCTAATCGACAAAATAACAACAATTGTATGTATAAATAATAATAATAATAAATTATATATTTTGTTCATTTTTCATACAGAAACACGGAGTGCAGAGTTTATCTCTCACCGTAGCACACGACGTGATAAATAATAATTCTAATTTTAAAAAAAACTTCATTACCTGTGTGTCTGTCATTTCTTTAGGGCGATTTCTGTCTTTCAAAAAAAGCATACTCTCATAAGCAAACCATTTGCTCTTGTAAACTTCTTCGGTTCCACCACCAGATTTTACGCTGTCTTTTTCTTTTTTAATTTCCCGTGAAAGATGACACAACAAATTTTTCAATTTTCTTTCAATTTCGTCTTTTTCTACACCAAAACTAACAGCAATTTCAATAAAAGCATCGTGTCTTTTGTTGCGATCTTTATAATCTTTTAATTTACAATCCCAAAGAACGGGACGACTGCGATACAATTCTATCAATGTTAAAACTTTTTCATTCGACCACTCCATATTTAATAAAATGAAATATTAAAATAAAAACGAAATAACATGCACTTAGTACAATAGTCGATTGTCAACTGGCTATAGAAAGCCAACGGCATTGCCAACGTTGGCACGTCCGCACTTCATTTTGCCATTTGGCTTTCTTTGATCCTGACCGACAGTTGACGGATACGGCTTGGCATGCCAGTTGGCAAAACTTTGCCAAATGGCNATAGGAGTGTTTAAAATTGTGCGGCAATCAATTGGTAAATTATTGAAACAATCATGCATTTTTAAACCTTTTAACAAACCATTAACTGCATTATGAGGAATTTTATAATCTATTGCCCAAGAAGCTAAAAATTCTTGAACTGAAAATTGTTTAGACAAATTTATGAATAATTTATCTTTATTAAATATATGTGTATCTGTTGGCTCATTAAAAGTGTTGATAACTGGTAATGGTAAATTAGTTGAAGCATTTGACGGAAACTCATTTGAAATATTGTATTGGTTCTTAGAGCTAGATGTTAAGTTATCATATTTAAACAAAGGCATAAGATTTAAATTATTTATTTCTAAAACATTTTCTGGTGGTTCATATTCCAATGAATTTGAGTGTGAAAGCATTTCCTCGACATCATTTATTTCTTTCATAATCTTTCTTCTCTTAGTGCGTACACTTTCTATTCTTTTAGTAGACATATTATGATTCAGTAATCACTACCAAATACCAATAAAAATTTAACAAAATCAAATTTATTATTAAAATACAAATTTTTATTATTATTATACAATGGTAATTTTGTAAGTATCTACCTACCAAAAAACTAAAGTAATATAATATACTTAAATTTGTTCCTATCAAATACACCAATAATAAATATTTAATTTTTTACGGTACTAGTTAATTTAGTTGATAATTTACTTATTTAAGTTTAATATAATTTAAATTAATTTATACTTTTTAAAATATGTATTATAATGAGAAATAGAGAAGTATTATGGTAATACAACTAATACAAGTGTTATGGTCACCCAACCAGGAAATCAGCAACAGTTTAAATAAAATATTTATTAGAAGAGTGAATAGACTTGGTATAAATAAACAAAGACTTGATCTTTTTACTATCTTTATACTCTTTTTAGTATGCCAATTAAATTCAATGTCTTTTTAATTATATATTATATATTATATATTATTTCAAACTTTAGATATTCACAAATCACAATAGTGTTTATTAAAACATACATACTGTTAATCAACAATATGTTTTTTTTTTTTAATATAAACCATTTTAAATTTGTCAATAAATAATGGTAAAATGTATGCAGTATATATAGGAACTAATTATGATAATTTAATACTATAGTTAGGTAGTAGGTTCCTACAATTAATTAATTATTTTATAGTAGGAAGAACGAGTTAAAAAAACATAGTATAACAATAGGTGTTTGCCATGCTTAATACTATATTAAATTCTAGTCAGTGCTTGAATCGGAAAAGAAAAATCAGGACGTACTATTAGCTGGCATTACCAAATAATGTATGTACCCACCCGTATTTAAAATGTTTAAATCTACCACTATAAAGCACTATATAGTATATACCTACTATAAAAATATAAAATTAAAATGTTAACTTTATAATTTAATACATTTCACTTACCACAAACAGCATAAAATCCAATATTTGGTAATATAATAGTTCACACTGTTTACACTACAGTAGAAAGAAGACACGTATCGTCGTAATGGCGTGCGGGTAAATAGTTAAAACGTTAAATCGTTAAATGTTTAATCTTTAGGCACTGCCGCGAACTGGTATCAACACTCCGCCACTCCGCGTCACAACAATCCGCGTTCGAAAACAATAATATTATAGAATTTTGAGAAATCTAAAAATATATTTTTTGACGACAAGCTGGGTAAATACAAACTGTCCATAGAGACGGCATACGCGTGTCGTGTACTATCGATAATACTGAGATAAGCATTAAGCACTTGTCTTGTTATTTATATAATTTTATTATACATACAAAATATCCAAGTTATAGTTACGTAGTAATGTGCACAGTTCACCGACGTATAAAATAATATTTAACAGTTTTATTATCATAATTTCATAAGTCATGAACACATGAATTTATATAAAATACCTAAAATAATACTTACCACAAATTCAATTCAAATAATGGAAAATTATGTATTTAATACAATACATAAATTATAATTAGTATCATTTTATTAGATACCTACATTACAGTATACATTAAAATTAAATGGCCAAATGGGTGTATTTGATTGGGAGATGTCCGTGTACCTATATCGATCAAGTCTACAGAACAGGGATTTATATACATAAAGACATAAAGTGTTGTATACTTATTACTTTTTCATTTTAAACGAGAGGACAACTTTTGTAATACGACTTTTTACCTATTCCATATTATTTTAATATATTTACTATAATATTCTACTCAGGTTTTTAATTAAATATTATTAAAATCATTTGTATACAATATTTTACGAAAAATATTTTCAAAACCACATTTTTACAACATTTCTCAAATAATAAATGTAAAATGTTATAGTAACTTTAAAATTATAAAAATTAAAACTGAATATTATGGTAACGTTTAAAAAATGTTTTTCAAATAATGATATAAAATAAATGTTTCTATAATAATATAATAACATTTGTATTTAAATATTTTTACATAATTTAATATACAATATTATTATAATATAAACGTTACTAAATTGCTGTCTGGGAATGCACCTCTGGGCTACAAACAACGAAGTCGACGAAATGAACAGAAGAGTGCTTAGCTCTATGAATCAAGTTGGTTTCATTTCTGAAGCAATTGATACGTCCGCAAAAAGACAGGATATTGAATCTTCCAAGAAACTGCAACGACAAAAGACTATGGGATTACCTTTAAGATTAGTTTTAAAAGAAACAGCCAAGTATATGGTGATAGCCAACATTTCAACCGATGATGGCATAGTCAACGGTGCCATCGGAGATCTCATGCAAATAAACAAAGGGCAAACTGTAGGAGGTAAAGAAGTTGCTAAAAGAGTTTGGATCAAGTTCAATGAACCAGAAGTAGGATCAATGACTAGACAGCAGATTAAAAACAAACTGAAACCTGAAGGCGAACACACAGACGATATGTGCAAGTGGACACCAATTGAAATCACAAAATTAGAATTTCAATTGGGCAATGTGGAGCACCATAAAGTAACGAGAATGCAATTGCCCTTGGTAGAAGCTTTGGCATTGACGGTACACAAAAGCCAAGGCGCCACGTATCAATCCGTAGCATTCCATATACCCAAAAAATACTTGAAATGCAATATGCTGTATGTTGGATGTAGTCGAGCAACTTCCGCACAAGGTTTGCGTATAGACCACTTTCCTGCAAAGCCACCAAAACCTTCATCAAAAGTTGAATATGAGATGTCCAGACTTAGGATACCAAGTTGTGCACTAAATCCACGGTTTTCTAGAATTATGAAAGACAACAAGCCACTATTGTGTATGTCACATAATATAAGATCATTAAAAAAATATGAAGATCATATTAATGCGGACAACGTTCTTTTGCGATCTCAACTAATGTTTTTCCAAGAAACTGGTTCAAAATCAACAGACACATATAAAATTAAGATATTGAATGCTGTAGAATAGACAGTATACATGCCAATGGCAAGAGTGGTTCAATTTGTTTTGTTGGAGAATCTATTCAAAATAAGGAAATAACTAGCAATTCAACATTATTACAAGACAAAAAAACACAAACACATCTAGAAGCGATTGAAGTATTCATTGAAAATATAACCTACATTGGTATATATTCATCGCCTAAGTTTCCTGTACAGGAACTTTGTGATTTCATTGAACAAGTAGCTTCAACCCACACAAAAGTTGTATTCATCGGTGATTTCAATACAAACTTCAATAAACCACCAAAACAACTAGTTCAAATATTAAAGCAATTCAATTACAAAGTATTAGTGGATGATATTACTGCAGATTACGGAACAAGCATAGACAATGTAATATCAAATTTCGAAATTGCAGTTTTGGTGTATGAATCTCTCATAAGTGATCACAGGCCTATTCTCCTTATGGACAAAGAAACTTACAATGAAATTGAAAAAAATTATGTGAAAGCTGATGATCAGATTGTAAAAGTTGATGAAAACAATTCGATCAAACCCAACGTCAGCATAGCTAATAGAGATATTCTGGTAAAATCAACTAAGGTCAGGATTA